AAGGGTAGAAACAAAAAAAAAAAAATGATGAGACTGGATAAAATGAAATACTCCATTAATAAATAAAAACAGGGGGAGGAAAACAAAAAAAAAAAAGGGGTGGCTGGTTGAAGTTTTTTTTTTTTTGGTTAAAATTGACTCCGAGAGACATTTGGCTCCTCGGCGTTCAAACACATTTTCCCAAAAAAAAAAAAAAAAGAAAATCCATCTGATTTACTAACATATCATTCGTAATAATAATAATAATAAAATTATTTCTTCTTCATTTTCAAGTTTGTTTTCACAATGTGGTGACGTCATTATAATACAAACAAAATAAACACGAAAGGAATATTAGAGAGAGACAGAGATGCAACAACATCCTCGTCATTAATTGTCAACACCAGGATAAAAAAAAAAAAATTTTATTTTTTATTTATTTATTTAACCATCCCCCTTCCTCCCCATCTTCCCCCCAAGATTTTTTTTTAATTTTCTAGAATTTTCGCCATTCTTGATGAATTCGATTTGGGAAAATATAAAATAAATAAATAGTTCTTTCTTTTTGTAAAATGAAACTCCAGAGTTTTGGAGTTTTGGCGTTGTTACGATGTAACGATTAATAATTTTTTAAATTATTATTTTTGGAAGATTTCAAAAAAAAAAAAAGGAATGAGAAAAACTGGACGAAAATATTTTAAACCTCCCCCTCCCCCCCCAAACACACACACAATACAATTTTTTAATTAACGTTAAAAAACGTTTCATTGACGTCATAATAATAATAAAAAAAAAATATATTTTTAGCATTTTTTTTTTAAAAACTCTCCCTCTCTTCCTCCCTCTCGACCGTTTTCCCTCCCGCTTCCTCCCTCCCTTTTTTTTTGCTAAAAATAATTTTGCTACGAATAATATAATAAGATATAAATAAAATTTTTTTTTACGATGAAAGGTTTCGTAATGAGTTTTTTGATAAAATTAAAAAAAAAATAATTTTTTTTTTCTCACACACGAGTAAAATTTATTATTTATAAAATAAAAAAAAAAAAAATTAAATTTATGTTTATCAAATTAGTTTAACCGGACGAAAACCGGGGGGTTGGAAGGGGAGGAGAAGGAGGAGGAAAAGGAGGGAAGTAAACATTTTTTTTTTTCAGTAACCGTTTCCGGTTTTTTCATTTTTAAATCTTTTTATATATATATTTATAATTAATATTTTGTAACGGTCGAAAAATTGTCATGTTAACTCGTACGTAACCATTTGGTGGGATTCGCGTTCGTTCGCGTTTTATATAACGCGGCGTTTAATATAATAATAATGATAATATTTTGTTAAATATTAAATTTATAGTTTTTATATAATAGACTATAAATGAATGATAAAGAAAGAGAGGGAGAGAGAGAGAGAGAGATAAGAATTAAAAACGATGATAATCGGGGAAAATAAAAAAAATAAAATTTTTAAACAAATGTTTTGCGACATTTGCGTTACAAAAAAAAAAAAAAAAAAAGAGTCGCCTTATACTCGATACGTAACGTTCTCCAGAGGCGCAAACAATCTGCCAACTTTCCGAAAAAAAAAAAAAAAAAGAAATTCAATGAAATAATCCCACACCCTAATCAAATAGTTTAAGGGTATAGAAAACTTTTGGGGATTAAACCAAAAAAAAAAAAATATTTTTCACGTTTTTTTTTTTTTTTTTCGTATTTATTTCGTACAAATTTTAAATCGTTTGTTTTGTTTGTTGTTTGTTTAGGACGGAAAATTTCGGGGTCTACTGTGTTTTCTATTTATTTTTTATTTTATTTTATTTTATTGTTACTAATAATAAGTGAAAAAAAGAAAAGAAAAAAATGTTTCGATAATTTTTTACAATTTGGATTTTTTACAATCGAATTTAATTATTATTATTATTATAATTTATTTTCTGGAATTTATTTGGTTAGTATTAAAATTGTTTTTTTTCTTTTTTATTCCAAATCCGCGTAAATTTTTAACATTATTATTGTTATTATTATTATTATTTATTCTTTATAAAACACCTTAAGGGGATTTCCTTCCTACCCTAGTTTCGGTTGCATTTTCGTCGCATTTTTATTATTATTATTATTACACAACTTTTGGTTAAAAATTTGGAGAATTTCATATCAACTGGAATTTTTTTTTTTTTATTACTATTATTATTATTATTATTATTATTATTATTATTATTATTATTATTATTATTATTATTATTATTATTATTATTATTATTGTTGTTGTTGCCGAGTTAAAACGTTTTATTTTTACTTATTTCCATCAAATATTTTTCTTTTAATGTTGAAAGAAAAAAAGGTTTGTTGTGTTTCGCAGCAGTGAGATATCACTACCGCAACGATAAGTAAATAAAAGTATTATCATTATCATCATCATCATTATTATTATTTTAATGATTTCCTTTTGTCTGGATTGCATTTAGACAAATTTCCTAGATTCCATTTTTTTTTTTTTAGTTTTAGTTGCAAAAAAAAATTCGAAAAGTTTTTGCGGAAAAAAAAAATAAAAAAATTTTTTTTTCGTTTGTTTTATATATTCGAATTGTTTTTGTTTGTTGTTGTAAATGCGTTTCGCTTTGTCGTTTGTATTACTGTTAGGAAAAAATTTAATCAACAACAACAACCGCAACAGCAAAAAAAATTTTTTTTTCGATAAACGCCCACTTTTTTTTTTTTAATTTATAAAATTTAAAATGGCGGCTTTTTTTCTTTTTTTTTTTTTTAAATAGATTTTTAATTTTGACTAAGTCGCCGCGGGAGAGCAAAAGAAGGGAGGTGTCAAGGGGCAAGGAGGGGGCGGGGAGGTGACGAAAAGGGCGGGGGGAAGTTAAGAAGAAAAAAAAAAAAGAAAAATCTTTTCTTATTTCTCATTTTCTCTTTCTGCGATACATTTTAGTCGACACGTTTTCTCTAGAAATTTTAATTCGAACGCCTCCCGTTAACTTAATAATTAAAATTTCAAATTCCATAAACTCTCCAGTTCTTTCATCAAATGAACGACGTCCCTCTCCCCTCTCCCTCTTCCTCCCTCCCTCCCTCCTTCTCTCTCCTAAAAAAAAAATTAAATTTTTTTTTTATTATTTAATTATATATATTCTTTTTCTGGGGTTGCGATCATTTTCATCCCTTAAAAATTTTTTTTTTGTCAATTCTTTCCGATAACTCACAAACCACAATCATACTATTAATAATAATAATAATAATAATTTATTTGTACACATATATCGGTTTAACAAATATCGAATAGTTTTCCAGATGTTTCGAATTTGTTTGTTTTATTTTTGAGAGAATAATCATCGACAAATAAATTTTCGTCGGTTAAGTTTTGAGATTTAATTTAATATAACGAAACATTCTAGAATCATTCATTCAAATCACGAATTACCAAGAGAGAGAGAGGGGGGGGAAGTTTTCATTAGATCAATTTTAACTTGTTAAATTTGTGTCGAATTTTGTTTAAAGATTATATCAAACGTGAGGAATTTGAAATTTGTCATTATCGCACGCGCACATACGTACACACACACACGCGCACGCGCGGGGTAAAGTGACTTAATTATTCGAAATCGCAGGTATAATATAGGTATGAAAAAACTAAATTTTTTTTTCCTGAGATAACCGCAAAAAAAATCAGAAAAGAAAATAAAAGAAAGGAAAAGAAAAGATTAGAAAGGAAAAAAAAATTCGCACGACGGTTTAAAGGGATAATGATTATGACGTCATAAAATAAAAATCGGAAAAACGTTTATTAAAAAAGAATTCCAATGATGACGTAATAAAAAGAAATTTTTATACGTGAAATTATATAGAGATAGAGATTTAAAATCGATAGTAGAGAAATTAATGTAGTCCTCACGATGGTGGTGATGGTGGTGGGAGTGGTGGTGGCGGTGGTGGTGGTTTATTGTCTTCTGCGTGAAGTTAAAAGCATTGAACCGGATGATCCTTCGAAATGAAGCTGGAATTAACACTGGAGAAATAAGAATCTTTGCTTTCCTTTTGCAAACAAGTAATTTCATTTACAGATTTTATTGCTTTTCTTCTTTAATATCAATCTCTACCTCTCTCTACCTCTCTCTCTCTCTCTCTCTCTCTCTCTCTCTCTCTGCATTTACGTATCTATCTATCTATCTTTTTTTTTTTGTTATTTAGCTTTGACAGATTTGACGAAAAGCTGGATAAAAAAATTTTTTTAAACGGATTTAAAAAAAAAAAAAAATGAGGGGTGGGCTTTTATGTTGACTTTTTTTAAGAAGATGTATTCCAAAAAAAATACGTTTAAATTTACCTATAATAATAATAATGATGATGATGATGATGATGATGATGATGATGATTAAAAAAGGGAGTAAAAAGAAAAATAAAAAAAGAAAAACATTAAGTGCGTGGGTACCACCACCACTGTCATCACAAACAAACCTTAAACAATAAGGGGTGGTGGTAGTAGTGGTGGTGGTGGTAGTAAACGTTTAAAACGCCTTATTATTGGACGAAATAAAAAAACTTGTTATTGTTTGACTTATGTATTTATTTACTAGCAGACGACAGAGTGGGATGACATGCATATAACGACAATGAAAAGATGAATTGAAACCGGACAAATTCAAAGGTATAAATTGACATGAGACGAAAGCTGGGTGTGTGTGTGTGTACGTGAGTGCGTGAGTGAGTGAGTGCGTGCGTGCGTGTTTGTATCTAAAATTACATAATTATCATTCGTTACGATAATAATAATAATATGAAACGGTTCATAATCGAAATTTAACATCTTTATATTTTTTTTTTATGAGTTTATTGTGTTTCCATAAAACCAGACTCCTCCCTCATACATAATTAAACACGTGCCTGATTTTATTATCCTTTTTTTTTAAAGGTGGAATAAAAAATTTTTTTTTTCTTTTTTTCTCGTAACAGATTCACGAGAATAGTATGCAAATTAAAAATTTGTCTTTTTTTTGGGGGGGGGAGAGGATGAGAGAAAAAAATCACACACCCTTCTTTGCAACCCCCTAAAAAAAAATCCTTATTTTTTTTTTAAATTTGTTTTTTTTATTGACTCGTTAATATCACGTGACGAATATAAAATTTAAAAAAATGATTACGAGAAAAAATTATTCGAAATGATTTCGTCATGATAATATCAATAATAATAATAATAATAATAATAATAATAATAATAATAATAATAATAATAATAATAAAGAATAAAATATAAATTTGGAATGAATGATGAAAATTAAAATCATCAATGAAGACGTAAATAAAACTTTTCGCGATTGAAATTAAAAAACGTAATATAAATAATAATAATAATATTAAATTTAAAAAAAAAAAAACGATAAATAAAAATAGCAGAAGATAAATAATAAAAGGATTGATAAATATTAATAATAATAATAATTATTCAGTTTAAAAGGATACGAAATAAAAAATAAAATAAATTTCAAAATATTTAAAATCGAAATTGAAATTCCAAAAGGATGGATTTTTTTTTTTTTTAATAACTTCCGGTTAAATTTTACCAATAAAAAAAAAGTTGACGGTTTTCCTTTTCCGGTATAAAAAAAATCTTCTAGAAAATCCTTTTTTTTCACTTATATATATATATATATATATATATATATATTTATATAAAAAGAAGGTTTTTAAAAGGTTTCTTCTTTTTTTTTTTTTAAATAAATATTTATTTAAATAAGTTTAAAGAAAAAAAAAAATTTTTTTTTTCATCTTTCAAAAGTTGGGGAGATTACCGGTGGAGGTGCGGGAAGAAAGGGGGGGAGGTTAAGGGGGGAAGAGAAAAAACCAAAAAAAAAAATTTTCTATTGATTTGACTTAATATTCAAGTTATGAAATTTTTTTTTTCGTTTTCGATAAGAATAAACAAAATATTTATATACGTAAGCATTCGTTATGGAGGAGAGGGGGGAAAAGGGAAAATTGTCTAAAACTTGCAAGAATATAAAAAATTTTTTTTATAAAAAGCAAGAGACAGAGAGAGAGAGAGAGTTAGGGGAAACGATCACGTGAATTTCATTTTTTTTTTTGTGGGGGGAGAGTTCGTTCATTCTCCACTTCGTCAAACTAAATCGAATTAAATTTTCCAACGTAAAAAAAAAGAACAAAATTTTTCACGAGGGTTGAAAATGCAACACAAAGGGGGCGTGTACCTCCCCATCAAACTGCCCATTAAACAAAAAAAATAACCTTAGGTAATGTAATTGATAGAGAAGAGATTTCAACTTTTCACTGTGGAGGAAAAGTTTTTTAAAAAATTTTCAATTCAACTCCTTATGTTGGCTGCTCCTGTTTTTCCTCCTGCTGCTGCTGATGCTGTGGGAAATACTGAAGAGGATTCATACATCTTTTTAACGAAGCCATTTATTTTGTACTCGATATTAAATGTAAACGACAGACAGATTTTTAACAATTATTTCGACAAGTTATAAAACCTGATAAAAAACTTTTTTTTTTTTTCAAACCTTTAGCCGTCGTTGATGATGGAGGGTCAAAACGTGTTTACTTCAAATTGTTTTTTTTTTTTTTCAACGTCATCCGATAATTTTTTTTCTGTCGAAAAATTTTCCTGTTGTTGTTGTTGGAATTCCTGTCAAAAAAAATTTAAATTTAAATTCGATGATTTTTTTTTTTTTTTAAATTAAAATATTCCCCCGCCATTTATTATTTTTTTTTTTTCACTTACTCGAGAGTAATAAAAAAAGGCATCTAATTCCGTGATCGTTTCCGGTTGAAATATTACCCTCGGTTTCCGTTAGCAATAAAAAAATTTTATTATCATTATTAATAATTAATAAAAAAAAAAAAAAAATTTATGTGACGTAATTGATTTACACGTAAATAATTTTTTTTTCTGGACGGATTTTTCCGACGGCGGAAAATTTTTAAAAATTGTCATCATCGTCGGTGGTGGTTTTAATTATTTTCCGGGGGAGGGGGAGTAACAAAATAAATAAGAAGGTCGATTTTGAGGTAATAAAAAAGTGTTAACAACCTTTAAAAAAAATTTAACTAAAAACACGTTTTGTACCCCAAAATTTTTCCAGTGAAAAAAATAAAAAGGTCGATAAAAAACCTTTTCGGCCATTTTGTTTTTTTTTTTTTTATGTTCGTTTAACAGTTTTTAAATTTTTATTTTTATTAACATGACAAAAAAATTAGTTTTTAATACGTTTTTAAAAAAAAAAACGCGGCAAAAACGTGAAAGAGGAAAAAATCTGGCGCCACAATTTTTAATCACGGATATTTAATTATTATTCCGACGCGGTTTTTTTTTTTTTTTGATAATCATGAATGGAAAATCTCTCTGGAGAAATAATGATGACGTGAATCCTCATCCATCCATCCATCCATCCATCCATTCATTCACTCACTTTCCAGTCAAAACCGTCGTTTTGACTGGGAAAACCTAAAAAAAAAAAAATTTCTGTTTGAAATCTCTTAAAATCCTTTTCTCTTTACCTCTGCCACGATTGAAAACATATTCAAAATTACATTTTTAAAAAGCATTTTTAAATTTTCAAAAAAAAAAAAAAAACAAACCATCTGGTCCTTGTCAAAGTTTTTCAAGTAGTAACGTTCTCATAAAAAAACTCTCTCTCTCTCTCTCTCTCTCTCTCTCTCTTTCTCTCTCTCTCTCTCTCTCTCTCTCTTTCTCTCTCTCTCTCTCTCTCTTTCTCTCTCTCTCTCTCTCTCTCTCTCTTTCTCTCTCTCTCTCTCTCTCTCTCTCTTTCTCTCTCTCTCTCTCTCTCTTTCTCTCTCTCTCTCTCTCTCTCTCTTTCTCTCTCTCTCTCTCTCTCTCTCTCTTTCTCTCTCTTTTATTCATTAATTAACTTTGAAGCACGAAAAAAAAGAGAAAGATAGAGAGAGAGTTAAAGGATCATCACCAGATCCTTTTTTTTTTTTAATAATCTTTTCATTTGCCTTCTAAAATTTTTTTCGGTCGTGAATAAAAGTTTTATTTATTCGTTTTCCCCTCCTTCCCTACCTCCCTATGGCCCCCACAAAAAAATACTTTTAAATTTTATTAAAGATATTAATTGATTTGAGTTACGTCGCTGAAAAATCATGAGTCGTCGTCATCGACGACGCCGATGTGGATTGTTATGTTTTTTTTTTTTTTTTATGTTTTGTTGTTATATTTTCACCTTTTATTCCTTTACATATACGGTAGTAACACGCTTTTTTTATTTTTTTTATTACTTACAAAGACTTTTTCTAACTTTTCTTAATGGATTTCTCTTTCTCTCTCTCTTGTACAACAACAAACAACAACGACAAACAACAACAATAACAACAACGCCTTACATGCGTTTACGTACCCCCCGATCGTAAATGTATGTATGCGTTTTACATTTAATAAATATTTAATGCATTTTATTATTTTTTTTATTGTAACCGCATTATTATTATTATTATTATTATTATTATTATTATTGTTTGATTTACGGCTGCAAAAAATATTATTATTATTACAATTTTTTCGGTGCGTGTGTATTTTTTAATAATAATAATAATAATAAATTTTTTTTTTAAATCTCGTCGTCGGTATATACATCGAAGGTTTTGGTTTCGATGGAATGTCAAAGGAAAATATTTTATGACTTTTTTTTTTAAAAAACTAATTAGTCGATTACCACATTATAACTAATAAACCCCTCCTCCTCCCGCCCCCGCCCCCCCGAAAAAATAATAATATTATGATTATTACAGGCGCGAAATTATAAAATCGTAATTTATTTTTATTTTTTAAATGGCGGATTTTTATATTTTAAAATTTAAAAAAAAAAAAAATGACTTTTACTCCTCCTCATCATCATCTTCTTTTTTTTTTTTTCTCTCCACTCGTCATCTAAACACTTTTCTCCTCCCCCCTCTTCCTCCTCCCCGTACCAAAAAAAAAAAAAAAAAAAAGGAAAAAAAAAATCTTGAAACTTTTAATTATGGCCTCTTATATGTGAAGTCACGTTTTACATTTGAAAAATTGTGTGCGCGCACTTCATAAGAACTTTAGATAAAATAATAATAATAATAATAATAATAATAATAATAATAATAATAATAATAATAATAATAATAATAATAATAAAATTCAAACGGTTTTTTATTTTTTATATTAAAGTTCTTTGTTCTTCATAACGGTTGAAAAAACAAAACGAGAAAAAAACGAAAAAAAAACACTCATGACGTTTGATTTTTATAGCGAGTATGTTGAAAAATAATAATAATAATAATAATTTTTTATATATATATATATATAGAGCTCTATAAATTTCAATTATTAATAAATTAAAAAATTCATTGTTTTTCTCAAATAAGATAATTGCTATAAAAAAAACAAAATTATTTAATTTATTATTTATAGCAAAAATGTAAACTATAAAAATATTTATTTTTTATAGCAAAACAAAAAGTTCTTATAGAGCATTAAATAGAGAGAGAGAGAGAGAGTGAAATGAATATTTAAAAAAAAAGAAAACAAATTAATTTGTTAACTCTATAAAAATATAGCGGAAAATATAAGGGAATAATTAAATTATAATATTATTAAAAAAAAAAAAACGCGGGCGGTTAAAAAAATTTTTCAGGTACGAGATGATGATGGTGGTGGTGAAAAAGAATTCATAACCATAAAAAAAAAAAAAAAAAAAAGAACCTGAAGAAGAAGAAGAAGAAATAAACGTCCTTGCCGATGGAAACAGGGTTCGCCCCTCCTCTCTAACGTTTCTTTTTCATTCCTTCTCTCACTCACTTACTCTTTTTTATTTTTATTCTTTTCTCTCTCTCTCTCTCTCTCTCTGTGTTCTCCACTTTCGGTTTTGTTTTTCGTCATTCACGCGGTGCTTTTCGTCGCGTTCGGACGTGTTTTGTGGAAAAATATTTTTTACCCTTCGTAAAGAAATTTTCTTTTTTTTTTTTCATACGTCGAATTTTTTATTTTTTATTTTAAAATTTAAAATTGAAACCGGAAGTAAAGTGTATTATATTCAATGTGTCGTTATTTTAATTGTTTATAATATTATTAATAACAAAAAAAATAATAATAATAATTATTATTATTAATTTTTTGTGTTTATCGATAGATTTTGTGTGTTTTTTTTATTATAGAAAAAAATAATAAATTAATCCGGTGAGAAGATTTTTCTTTAAAATTTTATTATTATTTTTATTACTGTTATTATTATTATTATTATTATTATTATTAATTATTATTATTATTATTGTTGTTGTTGTTGTTGTTGTTCTTATTTATTTACTTTTGTGTGTTATTGTTGAGCCTATTTTTTTTTTTTTGCTTAAATTTGCAAAATCACGGAAAAATTGTTGTTGTTGTTGTGTGAATGTGAATTTTTTTTCTTAATAATTTTAAAAAAATTTAATTGCCGCTAAAAATGGGAAAAAAAAATTCGAAAAATTTTTTAGAAATTTGTTTGAAAAAAGCAGAAGAAAAAAATAACGAAAAAATTTTTTCGTGACACGATGTGTAAATTTTGCGTGACACGATGCAAAAAAAAAAAAATTATTTCGTTCGGTTTTTATTTTTTTTTAATTTTTTTCATCATAATCATCACCATTATTATTATTATTGTTATTATCATTAATTTTTTATTTTCTTCGTCGCAGAAAATTTTCGTTTCTTTGCCCCCCTTTTCCGAAATTTTATTTTTTCAAAAATTCTTTAGTTTTGTGCATTTCTGTCGTTTTATTGTTAAAAAAAAAAAAAAAAAGTAGTACGTTGTCGATACAGAGTTAATTCCACGATAACATACGCACATGCACGCACACACGCGTCTCTGATAAAAATGAAAAAGCGTTTAAATAAAATTGTTATTCGAATATAAACGTGAGAAAAAAAAAAAAAAAGGTACGAAATTTCTCCCGGAAAATTTTCATGCGTTTTGCCCCCGTGTCATTAAAAGTGTTTCTCATATAATGTCGAGAAGTTCCGTTATTTAAACACCTTTTAATCACCTAACGGCTTAAAATCTCATATAAATATATATATATATTTTTCCGACGCCACGCCGCGGCACGACAGCAACAGCAGTAGAAACAGCAGCAGCAGCAGCGATTTTCGGTATCCATTGAACCCGGGTTTACTCGTTTTAGTAAATAATCCTCTTTCCTTTTTTTTTTTTTTTTATTTCGCAACGATATTTTTTCTATTTAATGACGTCATACATTACATTTTTCTTTTTTTTTTGTTCAGTCGTTAAACCTTCGGTTACTTAAAATTTTTATTTAATAAAAAAGATTTTTTCAAAATAAATAAATAATAGTAATAATAATGATAATAACGAAGAAGCGACATTTTTATTTATTTATTTTTTTTTAATTTTTTGATGT